CTCTCTCCTGCTTCCCTCTCTCCTGCTTCCCTCTCTTTTCTCTTTTTCTCTCTCTCTTGCTCTCTGTATCTCACTCTCTCTCTCTCTACCTCCCCCTCTCTTTCTCTACCTCCCCCTCTCTTTCTCTCCACCATCTCCATCTCCATCTCCATCTCACACCCTCACTTTTTTGCCCTCTGTTGATGCAGTTAAAAAAGAAAGCCATTCATCTCCCTCTCTCCCTCTTCCTTCTCTTTTCTCTCCCTTTTATCTTGCAGCTTCTCTCTCTCTCTCTCTCTCTCTCTCTCTCTCTCTCTCTCTTTCTACCTCTCTCTCCCCCTTCCCCTCTTTCTGTTATCTTTCAGGTTCTCTCCCTCTCTCTCTCTCCCTCCCTCTCTTTCCCTCCCCCTCCCTCTCTTTCCCTCCCCCCCCCCTCTCTCTCTCTCTCCCTCCCCCCCCCCTCGCTACCATCTCTCCATCCTCATCTTGCATCCTCACCTTTCCCCTTCCGTTGATGCAGTTCAAACAGATGATGTCATTAATGCCGATCTGATTTATGGTGTCTGTGATGTCACAAATTTACAAACAAAATCAATTCCATTATCAAGCCGACTTGCCGCTGGGCATGTAGTCTCTGCCTGCACACCTAATTCCAATTGAATTTGAGGGTTTGGATTTGAACCGTTTCTTGTGAGAACAAAAATGTAAATTGACATGATAGCAATACTTCCAATTTTATGGAGAGGTGTTGTGGTCTTATGAAGAAGTCTCCTGACTGTGAACCACAGGGTACAGGATTCGAGTCCCGCCGCGGCACTAATGTCCTTTGGCAAGACATTAATCTACCTTTGCCACACTCGACCCAGGTGTAGCTAGTAAGTGGGTACCTGGTAGGATTCATTCCTTGAATGCAATGAGCGCTACGGTTGCTGGAGCTTAAGCAGGAGTAATAATATCCAAAGTCCTTTGGAAGCGTATGTGATATGCGCTATACAAGAACAAGATATTATTATTATGTAGAGAATTATGTTTTACTTTTACTGCCACATCTTATTGTAAACCCCTTTTTTTCATTCACAGGAGTTTTTTTTTACATGCTGTTGCAAATGTGCCACTTTTGCAACAGAATATTAGAAAATTAACCTACTTACCAATGGCAATAGCCTGGAGACTTGAACACTTTTCTGTTCTGTACAGTCAGGCTCTAGACACAAGAACCATGTTCTAAATCAAAATTTGCAGGGTATTTAAAAATGTAAGTGTGAAAGACAAGTCGGGGGATGGGCACTTCATACGTTGGATTTGAACCGGTCCAAGTCAAATCTCAATGTGAAAGGGGTCTGAATCGAGCGCTTAATTGAGTGACTCATCGGACAGATTTTGTTTCTTTGATGATTGAGGGTCGTGCCCAAATGCCCTCGCTGTTTCGCCCTAATTAGTTTGCTTTAGCGAATGAGCAGCCCGCAATGGACAACTCTTTTGTCTTGTGTCAGTATGAATGGTGCATATGATTTGTGTACCGATAGGTCCGACTGTTATTATCTACCGTGCGTTTCCAGGCAGTATGACCACACTCCTCCCTTGTGAGTTAGTGATGCTTTTATAAAATGACATATTTATGTTTTAATTAGAAATCATGAAATGTTTACCCTGTATTCATTTTGGAGGCATGATTTATTTGTACTACATTGTATTTCCATGTACCTGATGAGTCATGAGCATCATTAGGACTATAAGGCTCATTTGCCTTCATTGTATGACCTTTCATAATGTTTCTTTCCAGGATTTCTTGGAAATTGTTACAAGCCCTGTAACATGCATACCTTAAATGAAGATAAAACAGCACTATCACCCTTCCTCCCCTCCTCCTCTTTTCCTATCCCCTTCTTTCTTTTCCTCTTCTTTTCTCCTCACCTTCCTCTCTTCCTCCCCCCATCCTCCACTTTCCTATCCCCTCTCCTTCTTTCTTTTCCTCTTTCCCCTCCTCCCCTCTTTCATCCACCTCCTCCCCCTCTTTCACCCCCCTTCTCCCCCTCTTTCAACCCCCTTCTCCCCCTCTTTCAACCCCCTTCCCCCCCTCTTTCAACCCCCTTCTCCCCCTCTTTCATCCCCCTCCTCCCCCTCTTTCATCCCCCTCCCCCTCTTTCATCCCCCTCCTCCTCTTTCATCCCCCTCCTCCCCCTCTTTCATCCCCTCCACCTCTTTCATCCCCCTCCTCCTCTTTCATCCCCCTCCTCCCCCTCTTTCATCCCCCTCCTCCCCCTCTTTCATCCCCCTCCTCCCCCTCTTTCATCCCCCTCCTCCCCCTCTTTCATCCCCTCCCCCTCTTTCATGCTCCTCCTCCCCCTCTATCATCCCCTCCTCCCCCTCTTTCATCCCCCTCCTCCCCATCTTTCATCCCTCTCCCCCTCTTTCACCCCTCCTCCTCCTCTCCCTCCTTCTCCTTCCATCCCCTTGTCCTATCACCTCTTCTTTCTGTTCCTCTTCTCCTCCTCCCCCTCTTTCCTCTTTCCTCCTCGCCTTCTTCCTCCTTACCTTCCTCCTCCTCCTCCCCCTCCTTCCATTGTACTATCCCCTCATCCCCTTGTCCTGTCCCCTCTCCTTCTTTCTTTTTCTCCTCTCCTCCACCTCCTCCTTTCTCACCTTCCCCTTCCTTCACCCCCTCCCCTTCCTCCTCCCCTCCCCCTTCCTCTTCCCCCTTCCCTTGTCCTTTCCACTCCCTGCTGCATTTCACAGTACATGTAGTTGGATGGATGGATAGATTGGTGGATAGATGTTGCAGTGGATTGAATGGATGAATAATTAAAGGATAAGGGCTGGTAGATAGGTATAAATTGAAATATATCTACACAAATAGATAGTAACAAAGGTACATGGAGCTGAAAAGACAGAAAAAATACCCATAGATACATATGGATACAAAATAGATAGGTAATAGATTAATAGATGAGAAGATAGATGAATTGAGAAGCTGGTGATCTGATGGGGTACGGTCTTGACCTCCTGGTTGCTAGCGGTAACAAGATCAGAAGCGTAAATGGCTTTTCCAAGGTCCACTTGGCTAATAGCAATCCCAGACTGATAAACTTCATTGCCTTCCTTTCGATTTATCAACCTCAGCAAAATGCATCGTTGGTTTGGATGTAGTGCAGGGAGTTGCTTCAGCCTAGCAACTCCATGGTCATACCATTTACATTTCACTTTTTCATCCCATGTTGCTGGCAAGTCTTTCCATATCAATGAACAAATGAATGAATGGATGAATAAATAAATGAATGAAATACAATGCTGATACCATATAGGAGCCTCTCTTCCCTTTTGATTAAGTCGACAAAATTGGCCAACGTATTGGTAGATAGGCCTATGGTAAGATAGAGAGAAACAGAGATGAAATACAGAAATATTTCAAAACCTAATTTAGGAATTAAGGAATGGTTAACGTTCAAATTAATTGTTCTATTTAATAGTCGTTATCACAAATTAGACAGATTGATTCCACTCACTCCTTGAGTTTACTTTAATCCTGCTCTTTTTGCCTCTCCTGATTTTGTTGTTTGTTGGAGGGGAGGGGGGGGGGGGGCATTGCTTATCCCTGTTTGCAGTTATATATTCTCTTGATTTTGCTCTTCTATCTTCGCTCCTCCTCTTCTTTTTCATTTTACTTTTAATTGCTGCCTCTCCATCTCCCAATTTTACATGCTAGTTGCTACTGCCTCTCCTTTGTCTCTCTCCTTTGTCTCTCTCCCTCTCTCTTTCTTCCTCTCTCCATTTCATTCTCCCATTCGCTTCTTCCCTTTGTCATTTATGGTATGTCACCCCCACCTCATCAATCCTATCTATCTCTTTTTCTAAACGTCACTCCCTCTCCACCTCTCTTTCTCTCTCTTTCTACTTCTCTTTCTCTTTCTCCTTCTCTTTTTCTCTTTGTCTTTCTTTCTCTCTCTCTCTTTCTCTCTCTCTCTCCATTTTCACTCTCCCTTTCCTAAATTCTACTGTTCAATATTATAGAGAGCATTAGTAGAGGCCTACCACCTCTCCCTATCACACCCTCTTCCCCCCCCCCCCCTCGCGGGAAATATTCCTGCTTCTCCCATCTTTCATTGTTTGAAATACTACCCCTTCCCCACCCCCCTCCTCTCCATGTGGGAACAGTCCACTTACTGTCAACAGTAATTAAACCATGCACCTCATCACCTAACCCTCCTTTTCCAGCTACCCCAAATGTTGGCACTCAACGAAAAGAGAGAGAAGACCCCAACCCGCTGCCCGCCAGAGTGCACCTTACAATAAATTGACTGCACAGTGTCCGGCCTGGCCTGCCCCGTAGCGTAATATCACAGCCTATATGTTTCCCATCCTCTCTCTCTCTCTCTCACACACACACACACACACACACACACGCAGACACTCGCACACTCCACTCGCTTCACAATGGCGCTCAGCTCTGCTACATGCATTCTCAAAATACTCCCTCGCTCACCGCTCACTGCTGCCTGAGCCAGTTAAAGGTTTCTGGGCATGCATTCTTTGATGGCCAGCTCGCTAAAAAACCTCTCCACTTCATTAATTCCATTTGTCTGATCATCCCAGCTCTTCATAGAAGTGTCTGGCCGTCCTTCACTCCACCTGAGCAGCAGTGAGTATTTCAAGGGAAGGCCGCTGTCCGTAAGCAGCATTTTCACCATTCCCGACTTATGTTAATTCACCGTGATTTTCCAGGTAGCCGACACGGGCCGGGCCGAGAATCAATTTATTCATAGATTGGCTTTTCGTAACAGAATGGGCTCTGTCGTCGTCCTCGCATAAACCGGGGAAAGTAAATTAAGATTTCGCCGTGGTAGTGGATGCATGTGCTTACTCGTAGCGGTGACAGGACATGCACTATACCTCTGAAGCATCCTATCGCAATATCTTACTTGTCAGCCGTCGAGGCCAGTTAAATGTGGATTCGCTATGGTAGCCATGCAGAGTTTATTCCTTTGTAAAACCATTTATGTTTCTTGTTTGTGTTTTCATTCCAGGGTTTATTAGAATGAGATGGTCTGTTGACTCTAAATTGCTCCACCGATCGACAGCTTCATATTGACGTTCACTCCTGCCTCTGGTGCTCATACTGTTTCTGTGAGTGAATACATAACAAGGACTTTCAGTGTGGAATTAACATTGGAAATCAATATACATATCGGATTCTGTCTTTACATTTGATTGAAATGTAAGTACATCTGTCACGTTTTTATTCATTTGACCTGTTTCTGAGTTATCACAGTTATAATTATTAATGTTTTATTTATTCAAAAATATGCATCAAGGCAGGGAGGATGAATTGTACAATATTTGGACTATGGACTGTTTGTTGATAAAATATAGACAAAGAACTGAATATAGAATGAGAGAGAGAGAGAGAGGTTGAGAGACAGAGAGGGAGAGGTGAGAGAAAGAGAAAGAGAAAGAGAAATAGAAAGAGAAAGAGAAAGAGAAAGAGAAAGAGAAAGAGAAAGAGAAAGAGAAAGAGAAAGAGAAAGAGAAAGAGAAAGAGAAAGAGAAAGAGAAAGAGAAAGAGAAAGAGAAAGAGAAGGAGAAGGAGAACGAGAACAAGAAAGAGAGAGAAAGAGAAAGAGAAAGAGAAAAAGAGAGAGAGAGAGAGAAAGAGAAAGAGAAAGAGAGAGAGAGAGAGAGAGAGAGAGAAAGAGAAATAGAAAGAGAAAGAGAAAGAGAAAGAGAAATAGAAAGAGAAAGAGAAAGAGAAAGAGAAAGAGAAAGAGAAAGAGAAATAGAAAGAGAAAGAGAAAGAGAAAGAGAAAGAGAAAGAGAAAGAGAAAGAGAAAGAGAAGGAGAACGAGAACAAGAAAGAGAGAGAAAGAGAAAGAGAAAGAGAAAGAGAGAGAGAGAGAGAAAGAGAAAGAGAAAGAGAGAGAGAGAGAGAGAGCAAAAGAAAGAGAGAGGAGTGTTAAGGAAATGGGAGAAGGGGGGGGGGGGTGCTAATAGGTGTTCTCTAATGAGTATAATCCATATTACTAAGCCAGGGGACTTTGGTTTTTAAGGTGACAACTGTCAAGCTAAAACATTTACGTACAGTGTTGTAATAAAAGAATGTTCAAAGAGTTTAAACTTTACTTAATACAGCTCACTTTTTACCGCAAGACGACCCCGGCGTTTCAATGCGATCTTGAACTTGAACTTAAAAAGAGTGCTGGCGTAATAATTGCTCTTTAAAGAGAATAATTTGTAACCTTCACATTAAGTTTATTGTGTCTGAAGGAGTTTGGTTTTTAAGATGTTGATCATGCTACAACATTTACTTACATTATCACAATGAAAGAACGTTCAAGGGCTTTAACTTTTATAAAATACTTCCTGGGCTATTTTAGATATAGTCTTCCAGTTAACTTTTAACCACAAGGGGACCCTGGCGTTCACGAAGCGATGCGGTGCGAACTTGAACTCAGTAAAAGTGCGAGTTGAACATGTATGATAGGTTGAGCTTTGTTTCCCCCCTCGCTCGAAGATGACCCTGTGACTGTACTCAATTAAATTATCTCGCTGACTGGGGCTCAGTGAGAAAACTTCCTGTATTTGATTTAAAGGAACAGCTCACCTTCTAATTATTCTATGGATATAGTTAAACAATCTGCTGAGTACTATATGAAAAGGTACAGTTAACCAAATCATTCATACACCCCTTACCAAGTTGTACAAAAAATTTGAAGTTTGTGAAAATTCATTAGTCCTGATTTATGTTTGTTTAGGGTGTGAATGTGTGATATATTAGAGCTTACATCTAAAGGTATTCAAAGGCCCTAATTCAACCAGTCCACCTTTCATTCTTGAGTTAAAAAAAACACAGAAAACATCAAATTAACAAGGGGTGTAAACAATTTAATTGAAAATTGTATGGTGCATATTTATACATGTATTTTGAAAGTTTCCATTTTTGTATGCTTGAGCTTTTCTTTTTCAATTTCAAGCATTTCTTTTTTGGGGGCATTTATTTTGAAAGTGAGAAGTTGTTTGAAAATATATGCAAGTTGTTGATAGGAGTTTGCTCACCTTCTAAGTTCTAATCACTCTATGGATACATACTACATATATATAGTAAAACAATCTGTTGTATACAATATGAACAGCTGTATATGCACAGACATTTGAAACTTCTTCTTGTGTACTTGAACCTTTTTTGCATTTATTTTGGATTTATTTTGGATTTGAGAGGTTGTTTTTGTTGAAAATGGCACCTTGATAAAGTTATATCCTGTGTGCTGAATTAAAGGAGTCAGACTCAGAGAAGTCACAGTCGGTCTTTGTAGTTTTTTCAAGGGAGTGAGAGACGGATCAATAATTAAATATAGTTTCAAACCCTCTAGACAAGACTGACACAAGTAAATTATAAATTCTTGCTTTATAATTATACAGTTAAAAACTAAATATACATACCCTTACAAAGTTTTGTAATTTTAGATGTATGTGAAAAATCAATTTGGCACGATTTATATTTTTAAAAATTTGTCCTGATTTATGTTTCTTTAGAATGTGACATATTAAAGCTTACATCTAAAAGTATTCAACAAAGGTCCTACCAGTCATTTAACCAGTCCATCTTTCGTTCTTGGGTTACGAAAAACACGAAGAAAAAAAAGAAGAAGGAAAAAAAAAAAAAAAAAAAAAAAAAAAAATTTACCAATTTACAAAGGATATGAATAAATAAGTTGTTAACTGTATATTCTTGCATTGCATTTTAAGAATCTATGAACTGAAAGAATGAAGAATTTATCTTGTAGCATGATTCTTTCTTACGTTCATGTATAGGTATATGACTTGTTTAGCAATCAATTCAGGGAAATTGTTTGCACAGTACAGGATATTTTATAATTCTAATTTTCCTGTTAATTCATGATTGATGGGATTTGTTTCATACAGGGATTATAAAAACATATTTGCAATAATTATATTGAGGATGAATGTATGATTGACTACTAATTTCTTATGGGGAAATAAGTTTTTTAGTACAAGGCAAAGGGGAGGGTAGTTGCCAATTTGTGTTTGATTGATTTCAACTTCAAGTACAAAATTCAATAACTTTCTTATTCTTTATCTGATTTTGCTCAAACTTTCAGTGACCTGTTCCTCTCATATTTCTGCCTCTATTAAAACCAACTTAAAACCAGGGTCGACTTACCCTAAGAAACACACTATGTGAGTTCATGTTCTACACACCCCTCTACCTCTATGAAAAGAATTAATTTCTTCATCAACAAACCTGAAAGTAGACATTTATGAAATTTTCAGTTCAAAGCAAATGAGAGACACACTTGACAGGTATAGAATTGATGCATTGTGTATTTTCAAATTCATTAATGTCTTCGTTTTATTGGATATTAAATTTGATTTTCATGATTTTTTTGTATTTGTTCTTTAGTTATTAACCACCGATGAATTCCTCCGAAATTCAAATTTAACAAAACATCCATAAAAAGTGTGTGGGACAATTAAGAGCCTTGATAATTGACTAAAAACCCATTGAAAATGTGTGCTCAATGATAATTGAACCATCTCCCTTTTATCTCTGCAACAGTGCGAGTACCTAAGATTACCTTAATTAAGGACATGTCAATTGCAATACCTCAGCACTAACTACAGTCCACTACCCTCCTTTACGGGCTTTCGTTCTCTCTAAAAGACTCGATAAACGGCCATAATTAAAAGACATGATGAAGCAATGTGATTAGGAAAAGGGGCGAGGCGGACGGACCCAAGGACATCAGTTAGGCATGTCCCAGTATTTGTCACGCCCATACAGTCAGGCAGGCAAGCGTTGCGAGAAATCTAAATCTCTCTTTGCTCGTTTCTGCGACTGGTAAACCCATTTCGGAGCTTATGGCTTTGTCATGTCCCTGGTCGTTAGCACCGAGATGACATCACCAGTCGAGCGCTAATGCATATCCATTACTGCGCTAATGAGCGGTGGCAGTTACATTCACCCACTATGTCCCACCGTGTCCCATCATCAATCCCACGTGTTCCTTCTTGCGTCGATCTCTTGCTGTAGTCCCACATGTTTGTGTTTTTGTTTGTTTGTAGGCCATGGATGTTGACTGACGTGCAGCACGGTAGTGTATGTTAACATTTTTTAGGATGGCATCTTCAAATCTATTTTACTAACTTGAAAGTGGAATTTTTCTAAGAAAAAATAAAGATATTGAATAATAATAATAATAATAATGTTTCTTTTATAGCGCTATATCGAATTTAGAACTGATCAAAGCTATTTACACAAGTTTTTTACTACAGGGCAAATGGGAGGGGAGCTTGCAAAAATTCATAACTTTCTTATTCTTAATCAGAATTTGCTCAAACTTTCACTGACCTGCTTCTTCTAGTAAACTAATTTAATATCAGGGCCGACTTCCGCCCCTTTAACCCTTAAAACTGGTAAAAGTTTTTTAGGTTATTAAAGGTATAGACCAGCTTTGGAAATGCCCCCCTCTCAAAAAATGAAATGGAAGCTCTTATCACCAATCGTGTAAAAGAATATGTTTTGACTAATACGTGATGATACAAATTTTGCCGGGAAACCGTCTACTATTTGATATATTTGGTAAATTATCATATCTATCCAGCCTGGGTTGTGTATTATTAAGAGTTATGATTGATCTTAAGTGTGAGCAATACACGATGAGTCATAGACTTACGCTCAATATTAACCTTACGATCAATCAAAAGGCTTTATAATACATGGCCCAGGATAGATATCGCATACATGTAGTCCCATATACGTCTTTCTGTGTACAGTGCTTGTAACTTTACCAAGACTGGGCCAAATTTCTTATCATTTTGATGATTCCAGAACCTTGCAGTTATATGCTATATCGATGATCAACCTTTTCTGATTCTTTCACAATGCAATCACATGACAAAAATGCAACTTTCTCTTTAAAGCAGGGGAGTATACCCTTGTCCCAATTGATGAATAGCTCTTTACCACCCATCTATCTCATGGCCTCATTTTTGTCATGATGAAATGGTACGCCACACATAACTGGCATTGTCATTGAAAGGTCAGCCTTGTGGAACATGTCTCTCATCAACAGAAACAAGACGCAATACTGATCATCTGGGACTGTGATTGGAGTTAATGGAGTCACATACGTGTACGAACTTGTTTAGTCTCGTTAATTTGAACTGACTTTGATGGCAGTCCTTAGACTGTACACAATA